TGATCCAATTCCAGGAATGGGGAGTGGTTCAGCACCATGGATAGCTTCTCCAAACTCGGGCTGAACTCCAGAGGGGCTGCACCACCCTGCCAACACTGCTCCTGGGTTAGTCTCTTCAAACAGTCATCAGAGCAAGAACCAGACCGGCCTTCAGGTGGAAGACCACCTCCCACCCCAGGTCATGGGTCGGGATCATGGACAAACACTCCCAGGAGTTGCAACGTGCCCCCGCCCAAGAGCAAGACACAGGGCAAGCTGGTGCTTGAGAAAGTCCCACTGGCTGGTTTTCTGGCAAAGCTGCTGCCACCCCTACTGTGGCTTTCTCATGAGTGCCACAGGAGCATCTGGCTGCTCTGCAGAGCCATGCCAGGGGTTCCACTGTGGCAACCCTGGCCAGAGCAGGAGAGCAGCTGGCTCGGCCCTCCCCAGAGCCTGCCCAGCCTGTGGGCCTCACTCGGAAGGGTGCTTCTTCTGAGCAAGGCTTCAGCAGGAGAGTCACTCTGGAAGCTCATCGTGCTACCGCTCAGGTCAGCTCTAGGAACACCTTCTCTCCAAGGTCTTACCCTGCAAAAGGGCCCCTCGGAGCAAGTTGCTGGCAGGAGGGGACTGGCAGGGCAACTCTTGCTCCTCCACACACACCCAGCAGTGTGTGTAGTGGGATCTTGGGCCATTCCTACTGGGAACCGGCACCTCCTCAGACAGACCAAGGTCCAGACTAGAGGCAGTCCTACTGAAGGGATGCAGCAAGCTCGAGCAGCCTTCAGCACATGAGCCAGCGGGCTCGATCTATGCTTTCTTTCCCTGCCACCATTCCAGTAAAAGCTTCCTCTCCACATGAGCTCAGAGTTGCTGGAGGAAGTTACCCAGGAGCTGTGCATGTGCTGACAAATCCGGTGTTAACACTGGCTGCACTCACAGGCTCAGGCCGAAAGGCATAGATAGAGGAGAAAAGGCTGTGTAATGGTCCGTTGAACTCCACAGCTGTGTCGCTCGCACACAGTCCCCTCTGGGCTGGCACCAGGACTCGGCCCTGTCGGGCACTCGCTTGGGCGCAAGTTCCTGGGGAGAGCCGCTGCCGTTCCTGCAGCCCCCTGGCCCTGGAGCTCCTCCTCTCTCGTGCGGCATTTGCACCACCTTCTCCAAGAGGATGAGCCTGGGAAGAGTTGGCGTGCCGACTGGCAAGCAAATGGAAACTGACAACAGTTATTGTAATGGGATGAACAGAAGTTTTATTTCACTTGGATTTGTCCCCCCTTTTCTTTTTGCTTCATTTTGTTTTGTTTCCGTTCGTTTTGTTTCTTCTGTATTCTGAATATTTAGCCCTTGGAGGAAGTCAGTTTCTTACAGCCACATGTGAGTTTGTGCTTTAAGGGTTGAAGATAATGTTGTTTTCAGAAGATCATATTAGGAACTGCCTTTGTTTTGATGAACTGGTATTTTTCCTCTTGTGCACTTTGTGTGAAATACCATAAAATTGTTTTCTTCTATCAAATACTGGACAATCAGTAGTTGAGGTAGTGACCTGAAAAATGAAAGGGAAACTTGGAGCTGGGGCAGAGGGTTTTCTAGGACGACGAAGGCTTAGAGGACCGGTGACGAATGGGGCACCCTGATGTCTCTTTTGCCAAGGAGCCAGCATGGCTGGGGACCCAATCTGGGCTTGCTCAGGCTCTTCCCTTTGATAAAAACCGAGTAGCTCCTTATATGGATGCTGTAGGATCACATTCTTTACTGAATCCATTTCATGAATTTATTTCTACCAGTCACACAAAGGCATGAACAGTACTTGGGAAATATAACTCAGTACTCATGATGCCCCCTAGTGGTGGAGGACACTTCATCTAGAAAAACATTTTGCCTAAAAATGAAGGTTGAGTCTGAAGAATAGGAACACACACACACACACACACACACACACACACACACACACACACACACACACACGGCCGGGGGGGGGGGCGTGTTTAATTGTTTATTGAATTTATAGCCTACTTTTCTGATGCAAATTTATTCCAGGCAGAGGAAATGGCATTCTGTTATACTGCATTTTTAGAGGCATGCACTAATCATTGTCTTTTGAAAATGCACATGACACAAAGTATTTCTTTATTTATTGTATTTGTACCCTGCCCATTAGCCTGTGAAGTTTACAAATGAAAATTACAATAATTAATATAAAATGCATGATAAATCACAAACATACCGTTAATAAGTACAACAATACAATAATACACTGCCTGCCATCACAGCTAAAACAATCTCAGAGGTAAAGTAGAAATGTTTGGCCCCCATTCTTTAAGTTCTTTTTCTCTCCCCCAATTTTCCTTATTGTTTATCAGATTGTTAGCAGGACTGGTTTCTCTTTCTTCTTTGATAAGGTTTGGTTCTGCCATAAAGGATGGTTTTGGTTTTGAATGAAACTTGCAATAAAATAATCAGTATTGTGATTAGTTGCAGAAGTTTGCAATAGGTTCAAAGGGGCGATAGAAGGGACTGCTGCTTCTAGCTGATAATGGTTTAAAGCAGGTATAGAGATTCCTTTTTGGGCTGTGGAAAGCTTCAGCCTTTACTAGCATGAATATTGTGGGAGTTGTAATCCAAAACATCTGGGAGGCATTGATTTGCCAGTCCTTGGTTTGTAAGAATGCAGAAATCATACTTTGGACTCTTCTAAGTGACAGCTCCCATAAATGTGTTCTAAAACTCTTCCCAAATGTTCATCTGATCTTCAGAGGAAGGGTAATAGTGCCTTTCATGAACTAGAACCCTCTTCCGTGCCCCTTGTGTGACCCATATGTATGCATGTACACTCAGAAGTAAGTCCCAATAAGTTCAGGGGGCAAGTTCTCAAGTAAATGGGTATAACTCCCTGTTGTGCTGTTTCATCTATATCTGGTGCTAATGGAACCAGCCCATTGTTTAGACAATGGCTACATTGTTTAGTGCTTTATGATGAATTCTGATGGCCCCAGCCTTTGTACATATGTACAGGACTAAAATCCAAAAAGAAAAGACAGTTTGCACATCAAAGCTAAGCATTAATGTGTTGTGACATCTCCAAAATGAAGACTGGCGGCAGCTAAAGGCCAACTGGAATAAGCATCAGTGCTTCTAGCAGCAGATGGTTCAGCATGGAAGATGGGATCAGGGATCGACATAGAAGCCGGCAGAAATTAATGAATAAGTATGCATATGCATGTTCTATGCATGGACAGACATGGTCCTTCTTGAGCAGAATAGGTTGGCTGATTACTGAAATAGTTATTTACTGACTTGTCCATCCTTTGGAGGTGGAAGACCATTTGTTTTCCTGAGTAGGAACTTGCAAATTGTAGTTTGGGCCAATCAGGAGATCACCCAGAAGCATCCAGAGATTTCAATTTGTATCATCTCTGACCCTTGGCCATGCTGGCTGAAGGCAAATGGGAGCTGTGTTCAAAAGGATCTGGACTGCTGTGGATGATCCAGTGTGCATGCAGATCTCCTGCGAGAACAGGGTTCCCCATTCACTTCAATGGAAAGGGCACCTACATATGCATTGAAGTGAATGGGGAAAATGTACACCAGAAAATTCTGTGACTGCCTGTTGCCACATACAATCACTGGATCAAAGAAAAGGGTAGATTAACATCAGATAAACTTTCCTTGGGAAAAAGAATAGGAATGGGTTTTCATGCTCAACATCTGACTGACTGATTTGGTAGGTGGAAACCCAATCCCAATCCTGCCCTGCTTGCGACCTTCTTTGGGATACCTGGCTGACGGCTCTGGGAAGAAGGCTAGGCCAGGGAGACTTTGCCTGACCTAACAAGGCAGTCTGTGCATTCTGGGACAACTGCCATGACTAACTGTGGCTTGTGAGAATATAACCTCATTTATATGGTGTGAAAATATGTTCCTATTGAGCAGGTGGCAGCACAATGACAGCCTCAAATAAAATGGAAGGTTACCTTGGTCTTAAGAGAACCATTTCATTCGCAACATGCGGCACAAGAAATGTAATTGAATCAGCCAGATTTACATTTTGGTCTAATTTTATTGTTCATTATTTTACCTCTCTGGCGGTAACAAAAAGTATGTCTGGCAAACATGATGTAGTGGAAAAATGAATAGGCAGTAAATGCTGGCTTGGCATGAAGCGGGGGGGGGGGGGCAGAAAAAGTGACTAATGCTGCTTCTAATTTAGGATTAGGGAACTGGGGAGGACCAAACATGGCTGAATTCAAAGAGACCCACTACAGTTTTACAACCATTCTGTTAACTACAGCTCCCCACACTCTGCCTCTCCAAGCAAGGGCATTTCATTGGAAATTAAGCAATCTTTTGCCTGCCTGCCCTCTTCCTGCTGGCTTTTTCCTGGGTTTTGGAAATGGCTGGGCAGGTCAGTCCCAGGCTTCAGCAGAATCATGGGTATTCCTGCGACAGCAACTACAAGGGAAGCAATCAGCTCTCAGTTCCAAGCAATGGAGGGATTCATATGTAGCAAATACCTTCCTCACCCAGTTTTGCTAATGGGTACTTCTCAGTTCTCTTACCTTAAAAGTGCTGGGATCTACCTTCTGCAAGAAGGAACCTTCTGTGAGGTTTGTTCATGCAACATCTTCACCTGATGTTTGAGGTTACATCCAGCCACCCCAGTCCACCCCACTCAGCAGGGTCTTCTCAGTATCCAGTCCAAGACTTTTAGCTGACTGAGATTGAAAGCAAGACTAATACAGATTTTTACTTGGGAGCCAATTCTCCTGAGTTCAGTGGAACATCTAGGTAAGAATATACAAGATCACAGCTCCAACAAAGGCTGTGTAACTCTCGCTTGTTCGGACAGTCTTGAATGCCCAATCTATTCAAAGTAGAGAATTCAGGTTTTTGCTGGCGTAGAATTTTTGTTGACTAGCTGCACACATTCAATTTATCCTTTAGTGGATCATGCACGCCTCTCCCATCCTACCTACATTGATAGTTCTCTGTTTTGTCCTTTCTCCCTTTTTCTCCTGCCCCAGAGTGAAATGGATGAAAACCAGATCCAGATGGCAGGAGATGATGTGGATGTACCGGAGGACCTCCAGAAAATGGTGGCAGAAGATCAGGTAGAAGAAGAAGATAAAGATTCCATTCTTGGACAGCTTCAGAACATCCAGAACATGGACATGGATGCTATCAAAGAAAAGGCTCAAGCGACCTTCACTGATATTAAACAGGCAGCTGAACAGAAGTGCTCTGTAATGTAGTAGAGACATGTGTAAGATCCGTGTACCAATGCCAGATAGGAGAGGGTGGCTGCCACACTGGTGGATCAGTCACCACTCTCTACCCCTTTATAAGGAGTTGGTGCTTTGTTTCATTTTTCCAAATATGCAAAAGTGATAAGGATGATGATGGATAGTGGGATTCCAGGATGGGAGGCAACGACCTAAGCTTGTATCTGCAGTCCTAAAGATGATGGCTTGCATTGACATTCACCAACACCCACCATGTTCTCAGGTTCTGAATCATGGGACAAGACTAACCTTGTTAACAGCAAATGGAAATATTTTCTACCTTCTTAAAATAATTCCACTTCCCAGGATTTAAGAAGGGTACAGTATTCCTCACCTGGAGTTGTTAGGACCAAGTTTTCTAGGTAAGGAACATTAAAGATAGGTATTATTGGACTATTCTGGGCAGGAATGGTCTGAAATAAATGGTCCCCTTACAACCCAATGGACAATGTAGTTGTTATAGAACAAAAGAGACCAATTCCCATATGTTCTCTCACCCTGTATAAACCATAGTTTTGTATTTATAGATCTGGTCAGTTTGATATGATAGAATCCTCTTTTAGAAAAGAAAAGAATTCAAAGTACTTTCAAAACAGGTGAACATCTGACATTGCTTTGTGTAGAATGTATTTATTTTCTGGTCTCTGGACTAGGGATAGCTGAGAATTTGGTTCATTTAAAAAAATAACTGACAAAATTTGCAAATTTCTTCATAAATAGTCTGGAAAGAACTTGCTTTAAAAATTGAAAGTGAGAGAAGCTGAAATTGCCAAAGTATCCATCCAGGTCTTCAAAGCCTGGATGTGAATTCCTGTGTATTCAGCCATGGTGTTGAATCATGGTGCTACCTTTTCTTCTTCAACTGACTCCTTATATTTGCATGTCAGAAAGCATATCACGCTCCTCCATTCTGGGAACTGCAGCACCAACTGAACTGGGCTGGTGCAGATGAATAAGAATTCCATCTGGTTAGTATTTTGTTGTTTTTAAGGACTTACCATACTTTGCAAATTTCTTTGTATACAAATGGGAAATACTTGTAATTAGAGAGAGAGAGAGAGAGAGAGAGAGAGAGAGAGAGAGAGAGAGAGAGAGGATGTGGGAGAACAGATTGCCCATCCCTAATTGGAAAGCATCAAAAAGAAATGTTTGTGTGTGACACCTAAAACTTTCAGCTCTCTGAATATAATCTCACCTGGGCTTAGAGGACTTCCATATTACCTTTCTGAAGCAGCTCCTATACTCCAGCTCGACAGACAGAAATTTAACTGGTGAAGCTTTTCTCTCCTCATATTTCCATTCCAGGATCATCTCCCCTACTAAATTCACAGCGAACTGCTTTTCCAGTGTTCTGAAGATTAAGGGTTCCATGCCTGGCCTTCCATGAAGGGTTGCACTTTTGCAGAGGGTGGGGAACCAGGTTGTTGTTTGGTATGCAGAACAGCAGACTGAGGATGTAGCTGAATTTCCTGGGGTGCTTGGAGGGACAGGGCATATACAAGCCAGTGGAGAGTGGAAGGCTTTGGGGCCAGTGGGCCCAGGCATGAAGAAAGCAACATCAACATGGACAAACATCACACACCAGAATGTGGAGAGGATATGTTACTGGCACAGGGTGCAGGGGTGATAAGAAAATCCCCCTCTCAGATAAATATGGAACTTCTGAACCTTTCAGATCTTGAAAAGGCCTTGTAGATCCAAGTGTCTAAGGTTTTAAATATCACATTTCTAACCCACAATTACTGCAGAGATGTAAAGGCAGCATATGTGGTTCTCATCTCTCGTCTAATTTTATCCTCACCACAACCCTGTGAGGTAGGCTAGTCTGAGAAGCATGACTGGCTCACCCAGTGAACCATGTGGCTGAGTGGGAATTTGTGCCCAGGTTGAGCACTGCTGGCTGCAATGCCTCCTCGACGCAATGGAGGGCAGCACATCCTCTGACATATCAAAGAAGCAAATAGGGTCACTGGTGTCCTTGGGCTCCCATTTACCCCACTTGTAAGCACCTCACTCCCCCCCGCCGCCCCCTCCTTGCCCAGCCAGAACACACCGCATGTTCATTGGCTATGCGACAATTGGTCCTGCAGTGGCTTTGGAAGCAAATACACAAACCCAGTAAATAATCCTAAATTCCCTTCTTCCATTTTTTTTTAAAACAACCATCTTGAGAGTTAAATAAAATGCAAAGTCACCTTGATTCCCATGCAATGTAACCCCAGATGGGGCACTCGCTCTGGTCCCTTTAGGACAGGGATGGGCACCTCCTGGCGGCTGGGAGTCACACTGCCCCACTGGGGGCTGCACCCTGGTGGAGAGGCAGCCTGCACAATTTTGCTCCCTGGGCGATGCTTCTAAAGGAAAAACAGCCTTGTTTGCTCCCTGCTGTGCTGGCCGAAGGACAAGCGAGCGGATCCTGGAGCAAATCAAGCCAAAGCTTTCCCTAGAAGCAAAGACAGCGAACTGAGGCTGTTGTCCTTGGGGCACATCATGAGAAGGCAGGAATCCCTGAAGAAGACAATCATGCTGGGGAACATCAAAGGCAGAATTAAAGGGAGGCCACATGAGAGATGGATTGACTCCATCAGGGAAGCCACAGACTTGAATTTGGAAAGGTTGAGCAGGGCTGTCATGGATTGGACATTTCGGAGGGCTTTCCTTCATGGGGTTGCCATAAACTGGGGACTACTTGACGGCATGTAACTACAAACCCTACAGGATTCTGGGGGAACCTCAGCAGCTCTCTGGGTGCAGTAGAGGTCACAAAAATCATCCAGGGGACCCATGTGTGGCCCACAGTCCACGAGGGCTGCAAGAAATGGCAGCAGCTTTTGTCACTTCCTCAGGACAATGTACCTCTGATGCCATTCCCTTTTCCACCTGCTCATGGGGACAGGATCCAGGCCCTCCGTCTTCTGGGGAACGATTGTCAGCTCAGTGTGGATTGCTTTTTAGCAGAAACAGGTAACAGGAATGGCATCAGTAGCCAGCATGCTTTGGCACTTGAGAGACACAGTTGGGTCCAGAGCTGACAGCAGCCCAGGTCCCCTTGCCCAGTGGCTGGTCTGGGAGCAGTGAAGAGACGATGTGTTGGGCATTTCATGGATAGGAAGCCTGAAACTGGCCGCGACAGCACAGTGCCACTGCCGACAGCAAATCGGTCTGCCACAGGGCCCCGGGGTCCCGCAAGACCCTCAGTCCCAGAATGTGTCCTGCTTATATTTTATCACCATTTGATTTGCATTCATTTCATTTAGTATATTTCTATACAACTCCACAGATCAAGCTTTCAGGGTGGTTTGCAAAGCCCTGAAAAATATATTATACATAATATGCAAACTATTTGTCAACTATCCATGCATACAAACATATGCAGAGATGCACATATATATTCCCCAATTGTGGAATTCGCTCCCCAGAGAGATTCGCCTGGTGCTGTCACTTTATTCTTTTTGGTGCCAGGCTATTTTTTTTCCCCAGTGTTTAACGATTTTATTGTTTTAATAGAGGATGTATTGTTGTTTGGAAATTTTATTAGGATGCTGTGTTTTATTTTATATTGTCTTATTGTTAAACCATGCCGAGACCACGGTAAGGGATGGTCTAGAAAAGTTTCAAATAAACAAACAAACAAACAAACAAACCTAACCAATTTTCAGCAACAGTAAGAAAAATCCAGGTCCTGGTTAAACAATCATATATTGCCAAATTCCTGAGAGAAGAAGGTCTTAACCTGGCAGTGAAAAGATAATAGTGTTGGTGTCAGGCAGATCACATCAGAGAGATCGTTCCATAATTGTAGAGCCACCACTGAAAAGGCCCTCCCCCTGCTGATCACCTTCTGAGCATCTCTCCAAGGAAGTCCTGGGTAGATAAACATAGTGCGTGGATGGGGACATGCTAGGAGAGATACCCATCAGGTATCCGAAATCAAGACTGGAGCATGCCCATCACTTTCACCAGTCATGTTGTCCCTTTCTTCTAGCACCTTTCACCAGATTTTTCCTTTCTGCTGCTATAGTCATGTGGGCAGTGGTGTGGCCAGGACTGGGCCCTGCAGTCAACATCTGGAACCTCCGGTTATTTGAGTTCCCAAGGACAACCAAAGCAAACTCTACTTTATTCCCATAGCCATGATGCTGGTATGATTTCAGTGACTGCAAAATATAAAGCTGTACTTGCTCAAAGTTTAAAAAAAAACAATTTAATTTTGTAACCAGGGCTGGCCAACAGCTTTGTTTTTGTTCTAACATATCAGGAGTGTGGAAGTAGTTAAAAGGTTAAAAAGACCTCTGGTGTGGCGCAGGGAAAAAGGAAGCGTTCGCTCTGTGCTTCACACCTGGAATAATAGGTATGTGTGGTGGACAAGCACACAAAGAATTGTAGGGCTTTGCTTTGTCTAAATATTCAAGGGTTGTGTCCGTACTGCATAAAAACCCAGGGTCTAAAATTACCTAGTTACCCCACTACAGGCGTGTGTTTGTGTCAGCAGCTACTCTCTGAAAGTAGCTTTTGACTGGCAGCTGGAGGGCTGTTTTTTATACAGCCACTTCAAGTACAACAAATTACTTGGGTTTAATCTCCGCTCAGAATATATATATTTCTATCTAAACTCCATTAGCGTATTTTCCATACTGGATCTCTAGGCCAAAACTGTGCTGCTGGGGTTGAATTATACAGAGCATGGAGGAGAGAAATGTAGCCAAAATCATTATTGAACTGTTTTTTTTTTTCCTAGGATCTGCTTTAGACCTTATTATCTCTTCCTTGTTGTTTGACATGTATATTTTACTAGCATCGTTTCCTTAATACAACTAGGCCATGTTTTACTCTTGAGTAATTAGGGATGGTTACTGCTAACGTTACAATGCTATGCCATGTTACACATAATCCTTTGCGTCCCTGCTTCTATTTGGTACACACTCACAGGTAGGAGAACTTTGGATTCAGGACTGGCCCAAATTGTTTTA